TCAAACCAAGTGAAATATCTTGGATTAGTTCTTGACCAAAAATTTACTTTTAAAGATCACATTGAGGGCATTCAAGCCAAATGTAACAAATATATAAAATGTTTGTATCCTCTTATAAACAGGAAATCCAAACTTTGCCTGACGAATAAACTTCTAATATTTAAACAAGTTTTTAGACCGGCCATGCTTTACGCTGTGCCAATATGGTCTAGTTGTTGCACTACCAGGAAAAAAGCACTTCAAAGGATTCAGAACAAAATTCTGAAGATGATTTTGAAGTTGCCTCCCTGGTACAGTACTACCGAAGTACATAGAATTTCGAATGTTGAGACAAATGTCCAACAAAATAATTAATAATTTCAGGCAAAAATCGTAGCAATCCTCAATTGCAACGATTAATTTCCTTCATACTTAGATAAGATTTAGTTTTAGTTTTTAGTTTTAAGATTTTAATTGTTATACTGACATGTAGGTTTAAAAACCCTGTTTAAAATACTGAATTTGGCAATCAGCAAACACTTAGATATATATCATAACAATTAAGACTGGTAAGTTACTGTAGTAACTAGAGCATCTAGGTTAAAATGAAATGTAATTTATTTTGAATTTGGAAGAAATAAAGAGTTTGGAACAAAAAAAAGGTAGCAACCGTGGGCGGTCGATCATGCTCATGCTCATGCTCATGTTAAAACAATATGATAAAATTTCTTGTACAATATACGATCGATTGTTGGCAATAGATTTTGATGTAATTTGTAACCAGTCTATCTGTCTAAGATTGTTGAGATTGTCGCGAATTTAGTGTTTCGATTTAAATGTTATGAATGCCAGGAAAGGATTCAAATATTAGTGCCAACACCACCCACCACCCACTGGACAGCACGCAACCACTCCACGAAGTTCCGCTACTCACAGCCAAATGCTGCTGACAGCAGGATTGGAAGGCCATCGGGATGTGGTGTAAAGGGGGCCATGATGGGGCTAAATTGCGCTGAAGGAAAATGGATCAACGATCGAGAGCGCAGGGAAATCACCCGCCATCGTTGCTAGCCAATTGCCTGGCAAAAGTCAAAAGTGGTAGTCGAAAACCAAGCTAGACAAACCCAAAACGAATGTGATATACATCATAGTGAAAGATTGTTATTCGAAATAAAGTTATTAGTCTGCACGAGTCTTGAGGCGTGAAACTCGATCAGTAGTGGAGGAGGAGCCAACCTACTGAAATATCCAGGTAAAAACCCCTTCAAGCCAAAACCCAAATTTTTCTCATCACTAACCGCCATCATGGTATCCTATTGTGCCCACAGGACCCCGTAGTTTACCGTTAACATTTATCTACGGCGCGGTCAGACCCCGTAGTGTTCGTTTTGTTCGACCTATTGCGGTCAAACCCCAAAGCTATCGTGTAAATACAACCCTATTCCGATCCATCCTAGAACCAGCCGCGTTTACTAGTCCGTGTTCATCGCCATTGTGGACCTGTCTTGAGCGTCGTGGACACGTTATACCGTTCGCGAACGGCTCGGCAAACGGTACCGTAGGAGCACCTGTAGGAGGAGAGGAGAGTGAAGTGTTAAGAGGTGAATCGACTGGGCAACCCACAGTCGAAACCGAGGGACGAAGGACAGAAGCAAAAGAAAGGAGAAAGTGATGGTGAAGGTGTAGCGGAACGGAGGAGAAGGGGTCCCCCATCGACAACGGAAGACGAAGGAAGAACTAGTGAAGGCTAAGGTAGGAGATAGTCGATAAGAAAGTGGGAAAATTAGGGAAATAAACGAGACCTGTGTGAAAGTTCATCGGGGTGTGTTAAGAGTATTTGAGTGTTTCCTTGACCGCGATAGTCACACGTGTATGCCAACCCTGAGGCAGTGTAGAGAGGGTCTCATTAGTGCTGGGCAGGGAGTACCCCAACTGTTACAAATTGTATTTTATTTTATGGTAATTGTATGGTTTTTTTTTCCGGGTGGTGAACAATCATTCCCCCCGAAGCAGAAAACGGTGTTAATGTTTGAAGAACTCCTCTCTAAAGTAAAAAAAATATCAAACAGATAATTTTAAAACAATCAGCCATGATGATTAAATATGCACATGTCTTCTTAATATACTACTGAATACTCTGGATAAATCACTTTAATTATATTTGGCTCAGTAGTCCCATCCAGCAAGTATTTGTAAAAGAATATTGAAATTTCTTTGAAGAACTCCTCTCTGAAGTTAAAAAAAATCAATCAGACAACTTTAAAACAGTTACCCATCCCAAGTAACATTGCAAGTTTTATCGGGGTTTTAAAGAATTCTTCAAGTCTAAACCATGGCCTCCAAGAGCGTCCAAGATGGTTGCTTGGGATGATGTCTTAATGTTTAAATATCTTTTTTTGATATTCTAGAACATTCTTGGTGAAGAACTGGAATGGTTTATCACTTGGTTTTCGCACCATACATGGTTAAATTATATGCAGGTAGGTGTTCCAGTTATAGTGGTGTACATATAGTTGTGATATAGAGGTTGTGCCGAAATAGTGAGGAGGATCCGGATAAGATTATTTATCATCTCCTAAAATAAAGCATATTTGTATGTTTCAACCTTCAAATATGCACAAAAGTGACGGAAAATAATTAATTTTCCTTAAGATTTTCACTCTTTTGCACCTATAGTTGCGGTAGTGTTCCTATAATAATGGAACCCATAAGAAACCAACGCATTCAACTATTATAGAAACCAAAGTTAGCAAATACCACAACTACTGGAACAGTGTTCCTATTAATGGAGGACGATCTTTCTAAAATTTTATACAATTTTATTACAATGTAATATTTTTCTATCAAAATATAGGTTGAAAGCTAAAGATTGACGTGTAACCAGAGATCGAAATTTTCGCCTACTTGAGAAGAGAAACGTCATTTTTCACCTGCTAGGAGAAATTGATGAGAATGTGAGAAGCGAGAGAATATTATACGCTCACAGCAGTTTTCGCGAGAAAAGCAACAGCGATTTATTTTTTTCGGAGAGCATAAGCGGCAGATAAATCGTTTCTTTTTCAGTGAATTCTTGATGCCGATAATGATTTTTCACTTCTTTCATACACCTGAAAATTCACTTTCCGCACGCCAACGACGATCCGAAATTGAGAACCAAAACAAAAGTTAGGGAACATCCATAAATTACGTAGAATCTGAGGAGTAATGGAGAGGGGGTTGCAACATTTGTAACGGACCATGCATAAGGTATAGAAAAAACGCCACGAAGGGGGAGGGGAAGGTCTAAAATTGGTAAGAAAATTGCATCGTCATTTATGGATGACCCTTATGATATGACAGAAGGTATAAAAAGGAAATAAAAAAAATCTGCTGGACTGGTTGAAACGAACGAAATGCAAACAGGTGAGGCTATGTGAAATCGTTGTCCCTTTCCTTCTGCCGCTGTTTAAATGGATAACACAGGATGACGGCACACTCCGTCAACCATTTAATCAGCGGAAGAACAAATGAGACGGCGAATTTCCAAGCCTCAACTGTTAACATCACATTGGATTGGAACCGAACAATTTGGGGTGGTATTTTTTTTCGCTCTTGGAAGTTTTCAGAGTCAAATGGGTGATGAAAAAGTATTTTCGTTGGTTTTTGAAGAGAGATATTTTCGGATTATGTATGAGAGAGGATAATGAATTATCGGTGAAAAAGGAGAGATGAAAATGTGAACGGTTCACAACTCACCGAAAAGTAGCTTGAGGGAGGAAATGCTTATCGTGCAGCTGAGTGAGAATTTCTATCTCTGCGTGTAACAATTGTGTGTACATCATATATTTATTTTTAAATTGATAAATTGGCTAAGTACCTCCACTACTGACTCACCCACCCTAATATCATTAATGTTTTGATTTGAATGTTTATTTAGCACAATTGACCACTTTGTCAAGCAGTTTTGGCGTGACTTTCTACCAGCGATTTCACAAAACTGGACCAACTAATTTCTATTTTTTTATGAAACGCACAAATGTTGGCTACTTTTCTCGAGGTTCTAAAAGAAAAAATCTCAAAATAATGTTTTATTTCAAAGTTCGAGTGGTAGTAAACGTCATTTTAACTGCTCGAATGAAGTGGTTAATTGCTCGATTTACGCCGTGAAGTATGCAATACTTGAATTATGATGCATACTGGATGGAATGGTACTGCCAATACCGTACTGGATCGCAGTGCTATAAATTCTCAAAATCATTTGAACATTTTTGATGAAAATGAGAAAAGTAGCCATTCGCTATCAAAGGGGACCTCCTTTGAATGGGTGATATCAGTTGCTTAGTCATTTGACGAATGCATGGATCATTCTCATTTGAGAAACGCTATATATCATTCAATTGAGTGTAACCTACACATAAACGGAGCTCTGGTCGATATTCCGGCGAAAAAGCAAAATCAACCCGACATCAACCTGACTTCTACCAAACCCAACCCGATGTTGACCCGACATTGATCAGACATGAACCCAAAATTGACCCGACAACAACACGACATTGGGTTGACATCAACCTTAAATTTGCCTTACATTGATCCGACATCGGGTCGACTTGTCTGTTCGGGACCATTTTGCTGGGTTTCTTCCATACACCACTGTCGTATATCAAATGATAGTGAGTGACTCAATTGACAGTGACGATGAGCTTCGAATGATAAAGGGGCTCTTCAAATTATGGTCATGTAAGAATTCGTTTTCATAGAATTGATTGAATGGTTGTATTGGTTCATTTTCAATCGATGATATGAAAATTAACTGCACTGACACTATAAATTAGTACATGCTGTATGGTATGGTACTTGATACTGGATTGACATGAAGAAATCAACCATCGAAGAATCCCGAATTTAACCTTCATAGTGGATTGGGGTCATTTGAGGTTAAATTTGAGGCGAGGAGGTTTTTGATAAAGACTACGTTGTGCACAGGTATGTTATTGTTTGGCGTGTAATTTCGGATAGTAAATATAATACATATAAAAACTTCATAGGATGGATATCGAATACGCTTTATATTGATCCTACTGTCAGAATTATCTGGTCTCTTTAGAAAAGTGTTTGGTTTTTTTTTTCATAAATATGATAACACTTTATAGTCGAGCCGCAAAAACTTCGCATAATATGTACATTTATTATATTGGAATCGCCCTACATTATGTTATATGACTAGCATCTACGTCTTTTTATATACAACATTTACGAATAGCATGTATTCCAATTAATGATCTTAACTTCTGGACTTCGACCGAACGCTAAACTAACTAGAATCAGATTTTTTTTCTGTACTGGCGCACTTCCAGTATTGCATTCTTCCCTTGCCAAACACTGCCTCATATTAATCGAAACACTACAAGGACACTCGATTTTGGATCTTTATTTAGACATTCCAGGGCGTTTAAAAACCTGTTGAACTTGGGGCATTGGCTGCACATTATGTGCATAAATTTAGCATGTTCAAATTCAATCAGCATAATTTTTGCGCATTAGATGAAACCGATACTGAAAACTGACTTTACTGATGCTAAAGGAAAAACAGTTAGTAGAAAAACTTGCGTCGTTTTTAAATATCATGGTAATCCGTAATTCTTCTTGTATCTAGAACTGAACGTTATATTCAACGTAAACATTATATATTATTTGCATCATCCGAAAAGCAAATCTTCCAGAACTACATGATTAAATATTTATATAATTTATTTCAAACTACAAGTATTATCACCGGTAAACTTTGCTTGCTAGCAATCTGTATATGTTTCTTCTTCCGACAACAGGGATAAAAAAAACTCTAAATGTCCTGGAATGACTAGGTAAAGCGCACAGTGGTAATATCAAGATCTTTTGTCATACAAATACCTAAATGGAATTAAAAAATCTCCGTTAAGAAGGGATGAACATTAAAAAGGTTCCTCGCGGGGTGCATTAGTTCAGATCACCGGCTGAAGCTCAACATAAAATATAATAAATTAAAACTAAAACTTCATTAGATCTTCATCTATCCTGAATTTATAATCCACCATTGATTTTTTTCTTTTTCTTTGTTAAATAACTTAAAACTACGATTCATTCACCTTTCGGTTTGTCGAAATCGTAAAGCATGTTATGCATTGTTCACTTGCCACACTATGATAAAGCTTTTTTCGTTTTGATTTCCTGTAGTTTGTTCGGCTTCTATCTCTACGCTGTTTTCCATTTCACCGTCTCCTGAAAATATCAACAAATATTAAATTTAAAGACTCAAAGCTGCTATTGCACTGGTTTTTGTTTCAGAAGGCTAGGCGCAACCAAAATTTAATTATTATGCCAGCATTAAATATTTGAATTTACATAAGATAAGATGATATTGATGTCAAACATTGTTCGTGATTGACCTTCAATCAAAACTAAAACTACACTCGAAAACGCATCAAACCTTTCACGATAGCTTGCCATTAAACCAAAGCCACAATTCAATGCTGTTTAATTATACCATGTTCCAAATAAAAAGTCTTTGAAATTTTTATATATATTTACCATTAAAAGTCCAGAAATACTACACAGAAAAAAATCTGAATTTTAACTATCGCGTAAAATCTCCCTTCGTTTAATTTTGAGCTATACTTGGCATAAACAGTGAAATCGTTTACAAGCTTGCATACAATATTGCTAATTTATGCGATATTGCGCTTAAATTTACACGAAATATCGCGTTAATTTATGCCAAATGTAGCGTTAATTTTATGTGCGCTATATCTCGCAGAAATTTACATGAATTTTTCGAACGGTATAGACTAATGCTTGACCTATTCAAGGTGATGTGACACGCAGCCCTTGATCACTCTTTTCGAATCACCAATATTAAGTAGACACGATTTACTTTGTTTTCTAATCAATACTTATGAATATGGTCACACATAAATGCTGCTAGAAGTAAGTGGAGTTGTCACCACCATAAAACATGCGTTTTTTTATGCGTTTGAATATAAACTTTCCAGTAAATACAAATGTTTTGATACTACACAGATAGTTTCAAACATGTTTTTCAAGCTTTCCTTAAATTAAACCTCAAATTAAAGTAATAAAATCACAGAAAATAAGAAATGTAACGCTAGGTCGCTCATGCTTTCTTTACAACTCACTGCATACATATTGTCCTTATATCTGTAAATTTTTACAACAAAAACAATATTATCATTCATTAAGTGCTTTTGAGTTTTGTAGCTATAATTTGCAAGTTTTCAGAAAAAAATATTGCAAAGGTATACAGTGAGCGGTGAATGTCGACCTTCCGTTACATATATTATTTTTTTTATGTGTTGTAATTACCTTAAATTGAGAGTTGAACACGTTTACATATAAAAATAATCAGTTTAATCCACTGAAACTGTTTGCGTTTCGAGAAATCAATAAAAGGTAGCTTTTGCAGATTTTTTTTTTTCATAATATAGGGGAAATGTTGGCTTCGGCAATGCCTTAACCTATTATCGTCAGTGGACTAAACAAAGTCCTAGAGCACTCAAATTTGGCCAATAGTTGCTCTGAAACACAATGTATCCACATGCTAAAATTGAGCTTTCAAGGACGTTGTTTACCCCCTGACGATAATAGGTTAAGGTATTGCCGAAGCCAACTTTTCCCCTATGTGAAAACAATTTTTTTTTGTTTATAGAGACTTTATCCTATGGGGCATTCGTCTCTGCACATTTAATTATGTATGTTCAAATATTGGAAAATGCTATGAAACAGTATCCGTATATGTGTTTAGAGCTTCGGAAAGACCTTTATGTAATGTCTATCAGTAGTATTTTCACCTTGTTATGTGCAAAAACTTTTCCGAAGGCACAATATTAAAAAAAAAACTAATATTTAAAGCGCAAATAAACAGGTTCACGATTTTGAGCATTCAAACCACAGCAAAATATTGTTTTATACACTATTCTAAAAAAATCGTTCTAGCTACGAAAAGACTGAAAACTTATCACAGTTCTATAAGAGAATGAGGGATTATGTGTATGGAATTAGTTTGATTCCAAATGCTTGGAGTTTTGAGAAATTGAAATGTTTTCAACTAATTTGAAAGAGCAAGTCATTTATCATATATCATTCACAAAGAAAAAAATATTTTATTAAGTAATTCAGTGCAACTCGTAGCACTGCATCAGTATGTCACGGTGAAAATAAAAATGGCATGCGAAGACCTTGACCTAAACCTAACATGATTTAAATTAGGTTTATATATTTATCTCATCGATTATTGTGTTATTTTTAATCGCCGATTATTGAGATTCATAGTTCCAATACGGTATTGATTTTAAATTTTTTTTTTTTGCAATTCCGCACTCAAAAGCGTGCAGAAAACACTTTTTTGCACGTTGCTAAGTATAGCCTTGCTGACCGAGAGGTTGCAAAATTGTGAAAGTCATATTTCATAACCTATTTGATCAGAATGTTTTGATCATATGCATGGACGTTCCTTTTTTTCTTGATTTGTTTTTCCGTCGATCTTGTTTTTCGTGCTGAGCACCAATGCTTCCGACGCCAGGGAGGCAGCTCCCACACCGTACCTATCGACCCATCAAACTCATGAACCGAGAACCATCGGCTTTACTTAGGAAGGCGTGATCAGAAATGTTATGCCTCAGAACATCGTGGCGGTGCTGACTGGGATTGAACCCAGGCCTGCTGGGGTGAGAGGTAATCACGCTTATCACTACCGGTGCCGCTATGCATGCACGTTCATATACAGTTATTCTTGAAACTGCGTTCTATACAGATAGCAATAATTAAAGCACAAAGGGTTTTTTTCAAAATTGCATACAATGTCGTATGCAACTCCCAAAAATAGACTCGGCAAGCCTCGTTGGATGACCCGTGCTGAAACATTTTTGCAGATTATTGCATAAATAACTATTTTTTACGTTTTTGGTTTAATCACCCTCAAGCCATTTTCCACCTTATTTATTTGAAGGCTTAATAATAATAAAAATAATAATAAAACACACTTTAAATAACAACCCCAAAACCAAAAAATAAGTAATAAATTTCTTCAACCTTAGTTAGGTAGCGATGACCTATGTACATATGATATGTAATGATAAGAAAATAATTATAAACAATAAAACAAAGAGATAAAACGTACCTTCGCGTCAACTCTGATTTTCAGATAAATCATCAATGGAAGCGTTTACTCGCCAAACTAATATATGAGAAGCAATGTCGCATGCATCATCCACACTTTCTTCTAAAATAAAAATAAAATAAAATCTGAAACTCAACTATTCTTTTTAAGCGACATTGGAGAAGATGCTTGAAAGTAATTGAGTATTTTAATATAAATAAACATACATGCATCAATAACATGCATGCATTAACATAAACATGTCATAAATATTATTTTATTTGTCTAAAAAAATCTAAACAATCTTCTAATTGTGGCTCCCGTAGAAAAGATTTTTTTCTTTCGATAAGCAGTATTGTTGAAATATCTACCCGTGTATGTAATGCTTTGTTCAGACTACAGAGTTATAATATGTCAAGACCAACAATTGAAAAGGCCTTAACTCCCTTTTGTAAACAAACCCTTGTAAGGCCATTTTCTCGAGAACCGAAACCTACATTCGCAAACCGAAAACAGAATCAGGTAGAGGAGAAGTTCCCCTACATGTTCATTTTGTTGGTTTGCGTTGGCGGACTTCGGTTCTCGAGAAAATGGCCTTACAAGCGTTTGTTTACAAAATGGAGTTAAGGCCTTTTCAAGGTTTGTTTACAAATTTGAGTTAAGGCCTTTTCAATTGTTGGTCTTGATGTTACAATGCTATCTTGATGATTTTTTTCTTGTTGACAATTATTGTAATACCCTAGTAACATGTTATAACGCCTTAGTGCGAACATATCATAAAACCATGTGCTCACCATAATAAATCTGGGTACTGCGGACTTACTCAATATGCTTGTCAACTAGGAGCCTATGTGGGCTGTCAACCGGGAGCCAAACATTAAGAAGCTACACATGTAGTTATTCTTCTTATCTATCTTGAAGTATCGTCATCTCATAGAAATGAACCGCACTTTTTCATAACACATTATTGATTATAAGCTCAATGGCAGAAGCGTGTACGTGGCTTTGCCTCTCCCCTGATAGGGTTGTGAGGGCTATAGTGGTGCAACTTCTTGCAACACTAGTAAACAGTTCTCGAAGAATCTAGAACCGCACTACCGTTCATACTGGCGACAACGAAATCCCACCCCCAAGCTCCTTCATTTGACAATGTACCCCTCTAACCACAGGTAAACCGCGAATACTCGGCTCATCTCCTACTAGATGAACAATGAAAATGAACAATGAATTATTGGCTCCGTAAAGCTTACGTGATTGAGCCTTCCAAACAAACGAACTAGATAAAAAAAGACGAGGCTCGGTAGCTTAGTGGTTACCGTTTCTGCTTACTCAATAGAAGGTTGGGAGTTCAATCCTAGACCCGTCCCCTTCTTTTAAATTTTTCAATATGCCTTCTTCTATCCCCAATGGATAGTCCGCTGCTTTTACTGATCGTCACAGTGAATCCTGATCTAAAAATAACCCTCCCTTCTAACACAACTATCCTTTCCGTGAAAATTGTGGAGATGTAAACTCGGTCTCTAGTAACAACGATAATCCTTCCCCTGCCCTATCAATGAGTGGCAGTGAACGACATAACTAATAAATCTAAAACGTCTTCGACGAAGTTTCTCAATATATCATCTGTTGACATAAACAGAAAGTTCGACAGTCCTCTACATAACGGGTGTACAATAAAAAATGAGAATGATTTCAATACCGTCCAGCGCTCTTGTGAGAACATCGCGACTAAGTTGCGTCGTACGGCTGACCAGGGCCCCTTCTCCAATATTCATTGACGTTTTTTTTTTGAAGAATAAACATATGTTTTTAATAAAAAAAAATACTGAATTCGTTGAATAGTCATATGACTGAAAAAATTCTCATTATTTTATTGAACACCCGTTAGATTATTTCGAAATTTAACTTTTTACTCTGATATGCTGGAGACTGGAAGTCTTAGAAAAAATTGTTTAACTTACAAAATATCAACGCTTCAAAAGTCGTCAAAATTCTACAATTTATGAAGAGCTTTGAGTGGGTTGGTTTATTTCCTTTAAATTCCGTTATAATTGCTTATCTTTTGACAGATACGCGTATTTCGTCTACTACTTGCAGACTTCATCAG